TTTCATTCCATGGCTTCATGTTGGCATGGGGGTGACTACAAATTCACAGGATGTGCGAGAGCTAATACCAGAGCTCTTTTATATGCCAGAAATCTGCATGAATACAAATCGAGTTCGGTTTGGTTGTAAACAAGGAGGAGAAGCGATGGATTCACTTGAATTACCGCCATGGTCTCATGGAGATCCGTACGAGTTTATTTATCGAATGCGGGAGGCTCTTGAAAGCGATTATGTTTCTTCAATGCTACATCATTGGATCGATTTGATCTTTGGGTATAAGCAGCGGGGCAAGGAAGCCATTGCCGCGCTCAATGTTTTTAACTGGCACTCCTATGAGGAGCTGGACAAGAACCGTGATACGGATGTGGATCGACAATTGCTTATCGATTCCCTTGATAACATTGGGCAAACTCCCGTTCAACTCTTTACGCAGAATCACATTGAACGACGCCCCTATGATTTGTTGGATCCAATAAGTTGCTCTATGGGTGTGAAAACAATTGATGTTCAGCGCACCTGTTCCTGTGTTGCTCGTGTGGCGTTATTCGCATCGGATCGTGTCCTTCTTGTGGGTGGGAATGGGACGGCTCTGCTTTTCCGGCTTATTGTGGCTCCTCTTACGAAACGGGCGAGACGCGCATGTTCTGCTGGCTCTGTTGGTTCGGCGGCGGCAACAGGGGCGGGGGAAAACTCCGTGGCAGCTTCTGCAGGCAGCGGGGGTTTGCCGAGTTTGTCAAATATGACGCCTTTGGCATCGGGCCGCGGCGGCGGAATTTCTCGAGGCCGCCCCAGCGTTGATATGTTGGAGGAAGTTGAGCGTCGTACTGCGCCTCTTCCCACAGGCGTGGTTCCGAACACGAGCAAAAAGGCCGGTGGTCCGTGTGAGACGGAGAATGTGGCGGTGCTTTCCTTCGATAACGAAGTGTTTGTGGCCTTTGGTGGTCTCTTTGACAATACTTTTGTGATTCGTCCGCTGGACTCCTCTTCCGTCTTTGCGGAGGAGCGCCTAAGTGCGCATCGCGGCCGCGTTGTGCGCATCACTGCGAGCTCCAACAGTCGCTACATCGTGAGCGGCGCGGAGGACACCACCTTTGTTGTGTGGAGTTGTCAGCTGCAGCAGGGGCGTACCAGGCTGCGAGTGGAGCTGCTCTTTACGGTGTATGGGCACGAGGATAATCCCACCGCCGTAGACCTCAGTCCCGTGCTTGACCTTGTCGCCACCGCCAGCAGGGACGGTGTGCTGATGCTGCATAGTCTTACGAGCAGTCGACTGGAGCGCAGTTTGAGGCATCCGGAGAATTTTTCCATTGACCGCGTGCTTATCCAAGCGACATGTTACCTGCCGAATATTTTATACGCCTCCGCGTTGGATCACGTTATACATCAGATTGGCGTCAATGGTGTGGCGTTGCGGTCAGTCACCGCCCCGGGGCGTATCACGAGTTGGTGCGTCACACCAAATCAGTACATTCTCGTCACGACCAAATCCTTTACAAATTTGAATGCATCGGAGGAATCTGGCGGGACGGTTTTCTTTCTACATTCCTTCTACCTTTCTTTTTTGAACTCTGTGCCGTGTCCGTTGAGAAGTTTTGGTGCCACACTGACGTGCTGCGCGGCTCATCCTTCCAACCCGCAGGTGATTGTGTGCGGCTCCTCTGAGGGATCCTTGTCACTCTTACGCGTTGAGTTGTGAACGCACATGCAGACCGATGAAAAGGCGGAAAAAGTGTATCGTATATAAAATTGTATACACCAAATATACTCGATGGATATATATATATATATATATATTTATTATGCCTGCTGCTGTTGCCGTTGCTGCTAGTTCCTGTACCCCCTGTATGTAAAAAAGGGGAACGAAGAAGAGGAATAAGAAAGAAAGAACAAAACCTCCAGTGAGATTTTGCTTTATGTGGTGGGGGGTAGAGAAAGACCGGCACACCTTCCACCCACCTGCACCGAAACGCAAAACCACACGGGTAAAGAAATTATGGACGAGGGAAAGATCAACGTAACGATGCGACACGGTCATGTCCTTTTTTTTTTTCCTTTTTCTGCGCCTTCTTTTTTTTTTTTTTTTTTTGTTTGTTTGTTTGTTCTTATTTTTATTGTTGTGCATGCCAACCCACACTCAACCGCAGCCTTCCATAAATATTTTTTTTTTCTTTGGTTTGATTGATTGAATTTTTGCCTTTTTATTTATTTATTATTAGTGCGAAGTGAAGCGGAGGAGGCTGGGGGAAAAGGGAAAAAAAAAAAAAAAAAAAAAAAAAGGTGGCAACTGAGCATCATGTCATCGGAGCGGCGTCGCACGCATACGGCAACGAGTAGTGATGAATTCTTCGCTGGCGTGTCCGTTCATTGGGCCTCGTCGACGGGCTCTGCGGCTCGGGGGTGGCGGAAGGTGTTGTATGAGCGGCAGCCCTTTGAGGACAACTACGTCGATCCCGAGCAGTTTATGCGGGATCTAAGGCAAAATGTCAACCTGAAAACATACGAGTACGGCAAGGTTGTCATGGATACTTTTGTCGTTGTTCAGCAGTTATCGTTTGTTGCGCTTTTTCTTTTTGCATTCGCTAAGATGTACTCGGAAGAGGGAAATGCGTATGCGCTGGCGTGGATCAACACGACACTCTTTGCGCTCTCTTTTGTATTTTATGTTGAAATGCAGCGCCAACAGGCCATGGAGCAGGGTGAAACACCAACTCCGCTTTTGCAGCATGTGGTGAAACTTGGAAGGCAGGTTCTTCCGTTGGTGGCTGTTATTATTCTTCTCTCCCCTGCCTTGCAGACGCTCACGGCCACGTACAGCAATGACACGATTGTGGCCCTTAGCACTTTTGCAATGTGCATTCATTTATTATTAACAGATTATAGTTACCTGAATTGTTATACGGAAAGATATCAAAAATATACGGCGGTTAGTGCGGCAACATTTGGTACAATTCTCGTGGCTTCACGAATTAAAAATTTTTTTTGTAGCGGGTCTCTGATCACATTTGGAATCCTTTGCTTTGCGCTCTCACCCATTCCTAGGCATCACCTCAAACGCACTTCGGCGACAGCGCATGTGGGACTCACATTTGCGCTTTGTGGGCTTGCAGCTGGGTGCTTGATGCAGGCGGCTATTTTTGCAGTGCTGTACTGTCTATTGGTGGTGGCCGTGTCGTTGTTTATTCCATGGTGTTTTGTGACACTGCACGGGAGTATGAAGAAACAAATTAACGGTCCATGGGATGAGGCAAAACCGACGAATAGCACCGCTGCTGCAGAGTGGGCAAACGCCGGTCTTCTGCGTTGATGCCTTTTTTTTTTTTTTTTCCCGGCTACTCTCAATATTTCTGTGGCAGGTACCTCTCAACACAACTCGGCATCACAAGACACGCATGTGAAGATGCTTTGTTGCTGTTTGTAATGTTTTTCTTTTTCTGTCTGTATCTCTTTCACTCTCTTTTTTTCTCTCCGCTATTCTACCTCTGTCGGCTCTCTAGTGTGGTAGCAACATACAGCACGTGAGAGAAGATTGCAAAGTAAAAAAAAAAAAAGAGAAAACAAAAAACGGAAGAGGAACGAAGGAGAAGGGAGGGAGTAATAAAGAAGAGGTTACAATATGGCTACTCAAAGCTACTACGGTGGCTACTCACTTATTCGCTCCAGTGCATACACTGCCAACAGCAACGGGTGTGGGAACAGTTGTAGCAGTAAGAACGCGAGTTCCACCAAGGATGGGACGCGAACAGCGGGGTTGGCCCGGATGAATTTTGCCTCATGCAACAGCGACTGGATGCCATCCCTTGCGACATCCTCGGCGGCTGAGGTGCGTTCCACGGTGATGCCCGTTGACGCAGTGGGAGATGTGGCCTCCAGCGCGAGCGCCCCAACGCGCACCCCGCTCATTCAGGCCCTTTTGGCCATGCAGAACTTTTACCGCGGGGTGCCTCTCTGCGTCACCAATACCACCGCCCGGAATGCTTCCACGACCACAACCGTCACACACCCCGCAGCACCCAGTGCGAAGATGGAAAAATTTGTTGCTGCAACCACCGCGGAGGTTTCTAAGCGAGCGGAGGCAAAAAAAATGTTACCCACCATTCCAATGCCCATCGGCGGCGACACGTGGACGGCGCTCAGTGACACGGTACTTGCGGCTAAAACCGGCGTCGTCGCGTCACGGCATGCATTGAAACGCCCAGTAGCTCCTATGGCCGTTGGAGTGACGGATGCGGATCTTGACAGGGAGATGAGGTCAACGCGCAAGGGCCCAGAGCCGCTATTCCGCGATCTTTTGGCCTTTTCTTCGCCTTCCGAGACGCCCACCCAGAGTGCATTTGCGTGCAACACGAATAATAGCAAGCGAAGGGAGCCCGTCCCCGCGGATGAACCTTTTTCATCCCAACAGCATAAACAGGAACAAAAGCAGCATTGTCCTGTCCCACCCGCCCCAATTTCTGTGAGCCCTCTCTTGTCCCCCAATCGAGAAAACAGTCTGGCGCCAGAAGAGAATTCGCAAATGTTTCAGAAGCAATCTGAAGCCCCAGGTGGTTTCTACGATGAGGGACATTATGCGTTACGTTCATCCCCTAAAGAATTGCAGATGGGTCTTGCCAGCTTTTCCTCCACACCGGAGGAGAGGCAGCAAGAGAAGAGCACCATCCCTGTTTTCTCTGGTGGGATAAATGGCGCTTCTCGCCAGGGCATTCAACGAAACCAATTGCTGAGGGAAGGCGATGAGGACAAGCCTTTGTTCGACGAAGAAGATGAGGACGCCCTGGAGCACATTAGACAAGTCATCAACATTGTTCTATCAGTTAATGCTTCCGAGAATGCCTCCGCGGATACAGATGCCTCCTGCAAGCCTAAGAAGGGCCTGGAGTTTGGCATGGAGTGGTTGAATACCCGGTACCACCAAAGTGAGCAGCAAAACTCCTTCTTTCAGGGCTTTTAGGGGAAGATTCATGGGAAAATATGACAACAAACCATCCTATTTCCGGTATTTGGGGGGCAGTGGCGTACTGCACGGAGGGCACGAATGAACAAAGATATTTATATTCGAAAAAGAAAAAAAAACGAGATACGGAAAAGAGAAGAACAACAACAACAACAAAAACTAATAGGGAGAAAAAGAAGGGGGGAGGGAAACGAGGATATACACTTAATGAAGGGAAAAGAAGCCAATGGGATATAGGAGAGGTTAAAATGTACCCTTACTACCACTATGTGCAACACCGAGAAGTCCAAGTGGGGATAAGACAGGATGAATACACGGAGCGGCGTTCCATGTGGGGTCTTACTGAAGCTTTCTGAGGAGATGGGTGTATGCGTCATTGTGGGGCCCTCTAATAGTTGGACGCATCTCTGTTTTTTTTTGCTTGCTTCTCTGAAGAAAAAAAAAAAAAAAGGGGAAATGACATACACGCGGAACATGCAGTCTTCCGGAAGATTATCGTTCGCTGCAGGCGGGGAATGAGCGGCGGCACAGTGGGTGGAGGGAATGAAGGGGAGGGAATTGAGGGTGAGAAAAATGAAAGGAAGAATGAGTTGGCGGGGAGGAGAAAATAAATAAATAAATAAAAATATATATATTTAGGAAGGAAAGAAAGAAAAGGATTAAAAAAAAAAAAAAGAAGGGAAGTTGGGAAAGAGAGGTTCAGTGATACTTAGTAATAAAAAAATAACGAAGTGGGATTTGAGTGGGGTAGGAGGAGGAGGTGACGGGAGCAAAATGCTCAATATGGCTTTGGGTTTATTACACACTTGACGGAGCACCCTTTTTTTGTCTATCCTTTCCGGAATGACGGGGGGAGAAAAAAGAACTGATACAATCAATGGCTGAGCCCATTCCTTTCCTCTTTCTTTCTCTCTCTGTGTGTGTGTGTGTGTTGAGTCATGTATTTTGGTTGCGTTTTTTTTTTTTAAGCATATCATGAAGACAAGAGGGAGAGAGGGCGTGGGAGGGAGAGAACAACGATACATCTAACCCGCGCCTCTATGTATTTATGTGCATGGATCTATTTTATTTTCATTTTTATTGTTGTTGTTGTCATTACCATTATTATTATTATTATTATTATTCCATGCAGTCGTTTTTTTTTTTTTCTTTCTTTTTTTTTTTTTTTTTTTTTTGCGTTGTGTTTTTGTGCCTGCATGTGGTCGGAGAGGATGATAGAAGCGTTGCGTTGGTTTTATTAATTGTCCCGCTTTCACCATTTTTTTTGCCAAATGTTCGGAAGTACTGCGGACGCACATTTGCGGATAGACACGCATACATACATACACGCATAAGAAGGAACAAAATAATAATAATAATAATAAATAGGGCTACTTTTTTTTTCTTTTTTTTTTTTTTTTTTGGAGGGGAAATTGTCTTTTCATTATTGTCCAAAAGTTGTTTTTGCGGCATATGGATTCTAACAACAAAAAAACAAATAATAATAATAATAATAATAATAATAATAATAATAAAATGTGAGCCTCCCCCGCACTTCTTGAAGTTAACCATCGAACTGGGGCAATAAGTGAGGATAATAAATGGCTACGAAACACGGCGGGTGCTTGGGGGGGGGGGTGAAGTGACAGCAAGAAAGAGCGCATGTGTGCTCATATATTTATTTATTTCTCTTGCGGAGGTGGGGGGAAGAGGGATTGGAGTGAGAAAGAGTGAGAGAAAAAAGGAACTAAAGACAAACATCGGCTTTTTGTTTTTGTTTTCTGTGCCATTTCATAATGATAGGCCGTTGGGGGGAGAACGTGAGAGATGACGATGATGATGATGGTGTTGGTGGGGTAAAATATTACATTTTTAGGTTTGTTTCTTCTTTTTTTATTTTTATAAGAGGATTATTTTTGTGCCTGATGTGCCGATTTCTTTTTTTTTTTTTTTTTTTTTTTGGTACTTGTGTGTGTGTGTGTCTGTGGGGGAAATGCGATGTTTTGGGTTTCTTTTTTTGTTCTTTTTTTTTTGGATTTTATTTTTGAAGGATCCCTCCACCAGCCGTCATCTTCAGCGTGGGTTTTGCGCTCAGGCGGCGAGACTGCGGGCGGGGGGCATCCCAAGTCAAGCCGTCTTGTCATGAAAACATACCACCGGGGATCTGCCGGACTGTGGAAGAGGGAGAAATACGGCATGCGCATTCTGCGTGACTCTCTCTCTCTCTCCTTTTTTTTTTTTCTTCATTTTTTAGTTATTTATTGTTTTTACGGAGGTGTTTTTTTGATGCGTGTTGTTTTCAGGGAGGCCCCAGGAACGCCCTGCTTCCGAGGAGCGTCAGAAGAGGAATGCTTGTGTTTTATTTGTTGTTGTTGTTTGTTTGGAGTATTTTTGTTTCACTCATAATTTGTTTGTTTGTTTGTTTGTATGTGTGTTTGCCTTTTCTTTTTTTTGCCAATGGTACGCACTTCCAGCATGCATGCAGGTCCGAATGAAGAGAAAAGGTAAAAAAAAAAACTTTTTCTTTTTTTTTATTCCAGCAGAAACATAATGGCTTTGCCCTTCTTTCTCACCCACCCTCCTACATAATTAAGTGATATTTGGATTGAGTGATTTGTCCCGTCTGTATCATCATCAATGCTTGCGTTTGTGCGCGTGTGCGTGCGTATGCACGTTTTGGGGGGGGGATGTGGCTATGCCCGCCCATTATTGCGTTATCCTTCCCTTTTCTCTCTCTCTCTCTTTTTTTTTTCTTTTTTGCTTGCTTGTATTTGTGTGTGTTTCCTTTTTTTTTGTTTCTCCCAATAATTGTTCTTCTTGTAGTTGTCGTCGCGGCTGGGATACATTTTTACCGCGCCAGCGGTAACCCAAGTCATGGTTGCTCTGTGGGGAAGGGGAGAGGAAAAGAGGAATGAAGTGGAAGAGGGGGAGGAGGGCGTGAAGGCGTCCCTCCTTCATCAGCAGTGTGAGGCTGCCGTGAGTGAGGTGCTCGCCACGGTGAATACAGTGCAGTACCTTATTAAAAGCATTGAGGAGATTACAGGCAAGCCATTTCATCGGGAACGTATCAAGTGCGTCACGTTAAATCGTGGTATTCACAGTGGTGGTGCCGGGGGTAATAATGGCTCTGGTCTTTTGGACGGCAACGTAATGGCGGGGTACATGTGGCGTCGTGCACGCGAAGACTGTGAAAAGGGTGATATTTTGCTTGTTGAGGAGCTCATGGTTGGAAAGGCAGGTAACAGCGGCACGAATGTTCCTGACAGGCGAACAATTGAAACCGTGGAGAGAAATCTGCGTCATGAACTCATTCACGCCTTTGACGACACGCGTGGCGTGATTGAGGCATCGGACTGTATACATCAGGCTTGTAGCGAAATACGGGCAGCGCGGCTTAGTGGGGACTGCTTTGTCGGAGAGGAGCTCAAGCGTGGGCGGCTGGATCCGCTGCGTAGCGGTATGCGCTGCGTGAAGCGGCGGGCCACACTTGCAGTAGAAAAGAACCCCGTCTGTCGCGGATTTTCGGAGCGGGCGGTCGAGCGTGTTTTTCAGCGGTGCTACTCGGACTATGAGCCCTTTGCTGCGCCCATTTATGCCATGGGTAGCTATGGCGAGGAGAAGTTCAAGTAACACTAAGGCTTTGGCGTGGGCAGGAAGGGGCAGAGTAGATGCGAAGATCACGTCCCGTCATTGGATGGATACATACAAATACTGATCACAATGCATTCACACAATTCTCTCTTTTTACCTTTCTCTCTATGTGTGTGACTGCAAATTTTTGAAGAGCTTATCTTTTTAGCTTGACGGTCATGCATGTAAGCGTTCTCGGCGGTCTCATGCAAATTTTTATTTTTATTTTTATTTTTTTGCTTTTCAACAAAATTATATACATGTATATATATCTAAAGAATTTTTTGCGACTGCACAACGCGCAAGGGTGTTGGAACGGGAAGAAACATTACATGGTGCGGGTCGGTGGTGTCGAAAGGCCGGCAAGTTCCAATAGGCGCCAGTCCGCATCGCGGCTCTCGTCTTCCTCTCTGCAAGGGGGTGCTGTGGCGGGCAAGGTTCGTCGTAAAGCCGATGGTGCGCAGCGAAGGAACCGGCCCGAGGGACAAAGTCGCAAATTGTCTTTAAAAAGACGCTCTCTGAAAGCGGGTGGGAGCACGAATGCTCAGCGGAAACGTAATGGGCGTTCAAACCGTGGTCATAGTGTTAGGTCGCCCTCAGCGGAGCGTGGAGCAGCTGCAGGGGCGCAGGGGAAGACGTTGGGAACTTCGGGACGGTCAAGGCCATTCTCCCGTGCCGTGATGGATGCATATGTCTCACGTATACAAAGATGGTTCCGTAGGCTGGTTTTGGGAGGTGTCGTGAGGTGCCGTGGGCTTCTGGTCATGCGCATTAGGGAAATTCTTGAATTGCAAAAACGTCTTTGGGAACTTCGTGTCCGTATGGCAAAACGTGTCATGTCCGAGGCGTTTAATACTTATGCCCTAAGTATTCATAGCGATTCCGAGAGGAGAGGTATAAGGAAGTATAAACCTGTAGTAGCATTGGTGAATGCATTTATGCGTGCAAAGAAGGACTGCGTTTTGAGGAGCGAAAAGCTGCATATTATTTACCAACGCGCGGTAAGGGTTATTGAACGAGCATGGGCAAAGTGTGTCTTGTTTCGTTCTATTCAACAAGCCTCTGTGGAGAATAAAATGCAATGGCTTCTCATCCAGCAAGAGGAGATTGAAAGGCGTGATTACATTCGTCAACGATTGTTATTTCTTGTCGAGTGCCACCAGCAGTGTTACAATCACCCCCTTTTAATGAGGGCTGTAATCGCTGTGCGGAACACTGAATGCTGGGATAATGTCGTAGCGGAGAGCCCTTTGCACTTGACGGATAGGCGTTGCTCTTTTGTAAACTTGAGTAATGAAGTTACCTTGGATACCTCTTCCGCCCGGGACTTTAGGCATTCCATCGTGATGCAAACATCACGTTTCCAAGCTTCTTCGCGCTTTGCGTCTCCAAATTTTGGACAGACTTCTGATTCTCAACGTTGGAGTTGTCTTAATGAGGAGAAATACAAGGGCTTAATCTTTCAGACGACACATGAGCAGCCCTCGGTCAAGCATCGTTTTCATTTACGAGCGGATACGGCCTTTGTGCATGGACTCTTACAGGAGATGGGGAAGCTGGATTTTCCATCTTCTATGGGCTCCCGTCCACGAGTTCTTGCGTCACCACGAGACCTAACCGATGCTGCGGTCTCCACCACGTGTACGGCGCGGGTGCAGAGTACAGAACATGCCTCTGAGCTTACAGATAGCCGCTTTGTTTGGGTTGGCAATGTGCTTTTGCGTGAATGTCTGAGACCATTGCCACTTTTTACAGAATTTTGCATTTGGACTCACTCCAAAGAACGTGGATGGATAAAGGGTGGGAAGGCAACGTCTTCTTCATATGTTTTTGAGGATGCAGTCAATGCGTGCTTTCTTCACCCTGCGCCGACAAGAAAAAGCCGCGAAAGGACTCTTTCGCCAATGGACTTCAGTGTGAGCGTGGCCTCCATGGGGAAGGCGTGGGCGGATTTCTACGTCTTCATGGATCTCACTGGCGATGCCTTGAAATCTTTCTCGTGTAACAATACTACATCAGATTCCTCTCCGCTAGCATCGCTGATGGTCTCTCGAAGGAGTAAAGGGCGTGCATTGTTGCATTTTCTCCTGGGAACAGGGGCGGCCTCAGTGACACGGACATCCGGCAAATTGCACACGCCAATCCCATCTCCTGCAGACCAGACACAAGCGACTTGGACTCCGACGAAGATCCTTGGAAGTGAGTTTGACATCAAGTATGAAATTGAGCGTCTTTTAGTGCGCGAGTATCATCGCCGATTGAAATTGCAAGATTTGTACGATGCTGAGGTTGCCGCTTTGGGATGGATTATTCAGCGAGGTACTGCGACTACGAGGAATGCTGGAGAGGCGAGAACAAAGGTGACAGAGAGCAGGCAGCAATTCAAAAAAGCACGTGTGCCTTTGCATTTGCCACCGACGCTTTGTTGATGCATGGAATTGGTGTCTCTGGTGATGATAACTTGTTTAGTGTTGCTGGTAACACCCGTTTCCACCCCTTGCCGGGGTGCAATTTGAAATGTAAGATGGTCATTTTGCGTATATATATAATATATATATATATATATGTTTCGACGGGTGTGTGGCATAACTGGCAGGTTTTATTGCCTGACGTTGGAGAGTATGGTTTTTTTTTTCCTCACACGCACCCTTTTTTTTTTCCCCCACTTTGTTTGTGTGTGTGCAAACTCCTTTAGTATTTCGATATTTTTTTTTTAATTTGTACTTTCGGGGGCGGGTGCCTACACTGAAGGGAGAGAAGTGCCAGTAATAAACCAGGACTCGAAAGGGATTTTGATGCGTCGCTTGTTGTCTCCGCAGCGTGTGTTGTTGGTTACGCTACTATGGCAGCAACAGCAGCGGCGATGGGAGTCCAGCGGTGAAAAAAGATCAGGGGGCCGAGGCGCATCACCACCACCAACGTCACCGAAGAGGCAGAAGAAAATGTCCCCTGCCGCATCGGAACTGTCGCGTAGTGAAGATGTCGCCGAGCGCGAGGAGCGGCTTGACGTGGAGCGGCACTTTCCAGTCGCCATGTCCCACCTAAAGGCAACCCCAGTGAGTTCGCATGTGGCGGAAGAAGGTAGGAAGCGGAGGTGGAGGGAGGTCACGCGTGTCGTAAACGCCGACGGCTATGCGCCTCCTAATGAGGACGCACAGGCACCACCTTCTTTTTTCAACGAAGGCAGTCTTGATATCCGCGGGGGGACAAAAAAGCGAGGTGCACGAGAGAGAATGTCTTCACGACGAGAATCCATTTCACCGGACGTGCTGCAGCTCTCAGCAGGCAACACGAGGCAACACGGCCTTGCGCTCGCGGAGGAGAGTAATGTATCACCCGCGGATTCTACCATTGAACCGGAGGGGGAAGAGGGTCGGAGTACATACGGCGACACCCCCGTGCAGCTCACAGACATGCTGAAGGAGCGGCTGATGGAACTAAAGGCTGAAAAAATGCGTGAGGATCGAAATGACACATATTTGCCTCGTCGGCTGCGTCTACTGTCGGATCAGGAGGTGCAAAAACGGCTTGAGGAGAAGAAAGCGCAAAGCGAAGTTGCCGAGAAACCGATATCCACTGCGCCAAGAGGCAGAATAACAACGTTAGCGGATGTGTTTAGGGAACATGCAGGGAATGATGAGGCAGGCCCCGGCCAGTTAATGACGTCAGCAGCTGCAACGAATAATTCCGTGGCTTTGGATGCTATTTTTCGAAGGACGGCCGATTTTATTCCTGGTGAAACACCATACGACCCGCTTGCGGAATTTGCGAATAAATCCCTTGGCGGGGGCATTGACAAATCGGGCACTCCGGATGGCTCCGTTTTCCTTCTTCGATGTCTGCCACGTGCTGGTTTCTGTAGCAGACGGGAGGCACTCTCCATCATTGCCAGCGGTCAAGTGCGTGTGGATAACGTGGTGGAAAGAAACCCATTCCGTCTTGTTCGAGCAGAAAATAGCATTCACGTGGAGTCTCATAGTGGCCGCCTTCGCTTTGCACCGCCACGCCTCTGGATGTACCACAAACCAGCATATGTCATCGTCTCCAGAAACGACGTGGCAGGCCGCACCCTCATGACCAAACATGCCCGTATACTCGGCATGGATCATCTTGTTCCGGTTGGATCGCTTCCAATGCGAGCTCATGGATTGCTACTTCTCACCAACGACGGGGAACTTTCACGCCTTCTGGAAAATCCAAAAACGATGATTCAGCAGACGTATCTGCTGCGTGTTCGGCCCGCCATTGATCCTGTGCTGGCCCACAAGTTGAACACGGAAGGCATATTGGTGAATGGGAATCGGTACAATAATGTGGAGTTTTTTGTTAACCCGGCAATGAAGTCACGGTATTCATTGAAGGTGAAGGTAAGAGGTGAGACGATGCCTGTTGCACACCTGATGCAGCACCTGGGGCGAACTGTGGAGCGCGGTGGCCGTATATCCTTTGGTCCATTTTCAATGAGCGGACTTCCTGTTGGTTCCATACGTGAGGTAACGGTACCGCCGTATTATATGCAGCATTCTGGGGCTGTTTGGAAGGAGTTTATTGAACGTGACTGGCCCTTTTTTCGTCGACAGCGTGTGTCTCGTTTACGTCGCTTAAGCCGCTACCGTGAGCTAACCCCAAGGGAGTTGGAGGAGCTAGATAACTTCACATACGAGGAACTTAAGGATGCCTTGAGCTTTGAATCACAAGAGTTAAAGGCGACGTCTGAAGAAGAGTTGCGGCGTATGTCTGTTCGCCCCACGTTGAATGAGGAGCCTTTACCCAACGAGTTCGCAAGTGCTGACGTGGATGGCGACGGTGTTTTTCCAGCGGAGGAAGAAATTATGGAGGACATTACTGCAGTGATATGAAACACCTTTTTTTTTTTTGCCCAGGTTTATGTTGTTGTCATCGTTGTGCACAAACAGGCATACATACACGCGTGTTTTTGTGAATGACTAAACGCTCAATCGCAATTATTATTATTATTATTATTATTATTTTTTTTTTTTTGCGGGGGGGGACGCTTCACCGCCTGTTGTTTTATTTTTGCTTTTGGCTGGTGCAGCATCGGTGAATTGCTCTGTTCTCCCACTCTCCATGCACGGCTTCCAACGGCCAAATGTAGGCCCTTTATTCACGAGTGATCAGGCATCTTTCATACACATACGCATATATATATTACAAGTACGGGGGGAAATTGAGAGAACAACAACAACAAGAATATATATATATATATAAATATAACAAAACAACACACACAAACCCTCCAAAAAGAAATTTTGTTTTCAAATGATTGCCGATTTTGAGAGTGTTTTGCGCACAGATTTCTCACTTGATGACTGTCCTCGCATTGGACCCTTCACGTGGCACAATGTGCCTGGCTTGGACGGTTCGGATGAGGGGGATGAGTGGGATGCACCAACGCTTAGCTCGTATGGGTCCATTGAAACCCGCCCAAGGCGCAACGATGACTTCAGAGTAATTCCCTCAACGGGAGAAATGCTGACGGAAGATCCGCTTAGCACCAGCAATCGTCTTCAGACAGATATGCGCATGTGGAAACTCATGAAAACTTGCCCGGTGCCGCGCAGTGTTCCGAAGCTGGATATGAAGAAAGGTACGACAACTCTGGGGTTTCATTTTGACGGTGGTATCATACTCGCTGTGGATTCCCGCGCGTCTTCAGGACAGTACATCTCCTCTCAAACAGTCATGAAGATACTGGAAATCAATGAATACCTTTTGGGAACAATGGCGGGAGGAGCGGCAGACTGTCAATACTGGGAACGTGTATTAGGTATGGAGTGCCGTTTGTGGGAGCTACGAAATAACTGCCGCATCTCCGTGGCAGCTGCGAGTAAAATACTGGCAAATATCACTTATTCGTACCGCAACTACGGGCTCTCTATGGGCACAATGGTTGCAGGTTGGGACCAATTCGGACCCTCCCTGTATTACGTGGATGACAAGGGCACACGTGTGAAGCATGAACTTTTCAGTGTGGGCTCAGGCTCTATCTATGCCTACGGTGTTCTTGACCAGGGGTACCGCAAGAACCTTACTGTCGAGGAGGCATGCGAACTTGCACGTCGTTCCATTTTTCATGCAACATACCGTGATGGTGCCTCCGGCGGTATTGTCACCGTTTATCATGTACACCAGGGTGGATGGACGCAAATTTCGCGTGACGATCAGACTAAACTGTATGATCGCTACGTGTTGTAGCACATTAAGGAGGGCATAAAAAAAAAGCAAACACAAAAAAATAAAAAAAAAAAAAAGGAAGAAAACAGTTTAAAAGAAAATGTTTAGGAGATTTTTGTGCAACGGTCTTGAAGGAAAGACAAAATGCTTGTTGTTGTTATTGTTGGTTTCCTTCTTGCACCGCATGGATGTTTTGCTTTTTTGTGGGAAAACAATAAAAGGCACATGAAAATGTGACGAGCTTAGGGTCACCTGGCTCGGAAACATGCATGATGCTCATTCACGCCCACTCTTCAGCTCTTTGTGTGTTCCTCGTCTTTTTTTTGCTCTCCCATTTTTTTTAAAAACTTTTCTTTGAAACAATTATAGAGCTTGATTCACCGAACGATTCTCCATTCAACTTCCACAGCCATGGCCGACAATGCGATGACAAGAGGAAGCCGCGCGTGCTACAACTGCGGCCAGCCGGGACACCTCAGCCGTGAATGCCCCACACGGCCTCCTGGCGCAATGGGCGACCGTGCGTGCTACAATTGCGGTCGTATGGGCCACCTCAGCCGTGAATGTCCCACAAGGCCACCTGGCGCAATGGGCGACCGTGCGTGCTACAATTGCGGTCGTATGGGTCACCTTAGCCGCGAATGCCCTAACCGCCCAGCCGGTGGCTTTCGTGGTGTCGCACGTGGGGCGTGTTATCACTGCCAGCAGGAAGGTCATCTTGCGCGCGACTGCCCCAACGCACCGCCCGGAGGCGAGCGCGCATGCTACAATTGCGGTCAGACAGGCCACACCAGCCGTGCGTGCCCTGTGAAGTAAGCACTGCCCTTTGAAGGCTTGCTGGCCAGTTCGGCAATGGGTCGTTCAGTTCAGAAACAAGCTCACTTTTAAGTACAACGCGTCTACGTTCCTGGGCAAGGGGATGTCTCTTCTCTGCTACCCCTTGTAGGGGACAGGAAAAGAACTGACTGCCTCTTATTAAAAGAAAAAAGAAAAAAAAAAAAAAAAGGAAGGATCGGGGAATGAAGGGAAATAAGTAAAATAATTAAATCAAAAACTCTCATATTCTCGATCCTTGCGCAGCGCGTGGGAGGGTAAATAGCAAATAAAATAATTGGTTCTTTGTTCATTTCTCCACTGCTAATATAAAAGAGTAAATGGAGGTTCTTGCAGGCGTGTGAAATGCATATATTTGATCTTAACTGTACAACAAAATCCGAAATTGTTATTCCTGGGA